CAACACCCCCCCCCCCTCACACTCCTCCGTCGGATTTGCATTGAAAACAAAACAAAAATCTTTGCTATTCCCTAATGGTCTTTGTTTTGTTGGGAGGCAGAGCCAGGCGCGGGTAAACAACTTCATTATATAACAACTACCAAGAGAACGGAGGTACACACACACACACACACACACACACACACACACACACACACACACACACACACACACACACACACACACACAGCCACAGAGCCACAGGGACGTTAGAAGGAACTTTTTCAGTGTCAGAGTAGTTAACGGATGGAATGCATTAGGCAGTGATGTGGTGGAGGCTGACTCCATACACAGTTTTAAGTGTAGATATGATAGAGCCCAGTAGGCTCAGGAACCTGTACACCAGTTGATTGACAGTTGAGAGGCGGGACCAAAGAGACAAAGCTCAACCCCCGCAAGCACAAATAGGTGAATACACACACACACACACACACACACACACACACACACACACACACACACACACACAAACACACCTTTCTCCCCCCTCATCCAATTTTCTCCCGGGTTGTGTGTCTCAGTTTTACTGCGTGTATTGTGCTTGCTCATTCCCTCGAGTTCATTTAATTTCCACGAGTTTTTGTCGTGTCCAAATGTAGCAGTTACTTCCCACTGTGCTCTCTCTCTCTCTCTCTCTCTCCCTTTCTCTCTCTCTCTCTCTATCTAGTGAGAGAGAGATCTACTCCCCATCCAAGGCACTCTGATCCACTCTAAACATAAGCCCTCCCTCCTTCCTTCTCATTCTTCCTTCACGTGAATTAAGCTTCACTTTTAACCTCCGTTCCAATCTATTAACCTTCCTATTAACCGCTTTCCGATATCCTAACGCACGCCCGGGCTTGTTTTCGATATCATATGCCACGTATTATAGCCGGTGAGCATCTTGTTCGTGCGTATTATGTATAATGAAGTGTATGCTAGTGAGGGAGTGAGAGGGAGGTAGGGAGAGAGTGGGAGAGAGAGAGAGAGAGAGAGAGAGAGAGAGAGAGAGAGAGAGAGAGAGAGAGAGAGAGAGAGAGAGAGAGAGAGAGAGAGAGAGAGAGAGAGATAATCGATGTCTGTGTGTATATATATGTATATGAATAACGTCTTTTGCTTGCAACTATTGCAAGTATGCTTTATAGCTTTTCAATGATTGGTAGTTATTTTACAAGTGATGACAACGATCACTTGTGTTTCATGCGGTCATGAATCTTGTGGGAAAATAAAGCAAAACAGGTTATTTCCGAATTGGTAAAATTACCAACTGCTAAACGTGAGCCGATTATAAGGGGCCCAACAGAGGCAATTTCCAGCTAATGATGTACTCAATACAATCAAACTGTTTATGGTCTGTGATGATTCACATTAGTACACACACATGCATGCTGTGTGTGACAAGGGAGACATGATCACTACCTCCAAAATTCTCAGAGGAATTGACAGGGGTAGATAAGGATAAACTTTTTAACACGGGTGGTATGCGAAGAAGAGGACACAGGTGGAGACTGAGTACCCACATGAGTCACAGGGACGTTAGAAAGAACGTTTTTCGGTGTCAGAGTAGTTAACAGGTGGAATGCATTAGGCAGTGATGTGGTGGAGGCTGACTCCATATACAGTTTCAAATGTAGATATGATAGAGCCCAGTAGGCTCAGGAACCTGTACACCAGTTGATTGACAGTTGAGAGGCGGGACTAAAGAGCCAAAACTCAACCCCCGCAAGCACAACTAAGTGAGTACACACACACAAACATACACACACATTCACGCGTAAATACACACAAACACACACACACAAGGGCACACGCGCGCACACACAACAAAACACACATACAGCATACACTCTCTCACACAGACCACTTTAAAAGTTTGACCAGAGAGTCGTTCAATAATTTGCATAACTCGTATGTCAAACTAACTCTACAATATACGCATGTATTGACTTCCCTCCCCCCCTTCCCCCCCCCTTTTTCCCCCCCCCCAAAAAAAAAAACAAAGACACGAAACTTAGCTAGTTGGCAACTATTTTACATTTTCTACAAGCACATTTTGCGACTTTCAGCCCCAATATTCTTACTATATAATCAAATCGACAACATCTTCAAGGCACCTGACTGCGCATGTACAATGAGACTTTATATACATATATATATATATATATATATATATATATATATTCACTCCAACCACACTTAACCAAAGGATTACCGGAAAATTCTTGACTAGCAGTACTGAAAGATTCTGGGTCTTGGCTATCCAATACAGATAGTTTATGGTCATCCCACTATCCTAGTCGACTAATGTAAATGCCGGTCCCAATTAACCTGTCGAGTGGATAGGTTAATAGGGATCTGCTTTTTCACCAATAGGGACCAACGTTTTCACTCAGCACATTCCAAATGGAGTCAAATTCTGTGCACTGTAAGTTTGGATTCACTATTTGTTTTTGTATTCTGAGGATGCTAAATTTGACTTTTGAAATACATCTTGGTCAGTACATCTGGTTGAGATGTAAAAATTATTTTGCCAAAAACTTAATAAGTGAAGAAAAATGTATGGAATAAAACGAGGAACTATAAATTTTATATATATGTTGGGCATATCTAGACAGGAGTCAGGTTGAGCCAGAGTAGCGATAAGCATTTGATCTCCAATCTCAACCAGAGATACAGATAGATAGGCATGTATCTGATGAACCTGGACATACTCTGAATAAAGTCAATGAACTCGTGACCAATGCAATGCTCTATTCTGTTGTATTAAGGACTCTAAATCATCCTGTATATTGATCTTCTGACATTATCTTTCCTGCCTCTGATCTTCACAGAAGTCATCTGATCGAATAAGCTCTCAGACACAACCTGACCAACTTTATCTCTTCTCTAGTTTTCTAGTTTGTTTATTAATTACAAACTTCATTTCTTACATTTTCTTCCTCACATTCTTGTCTTATATTCTGACTTTCTCAGGCTCCACTGTGGATCATTACTTGTCTATAACACAGGATTCTTATCTGTCTGTAAGACAAAGTCCATTTCCGTTCATCGTGGGACTTTTTTGGGGAGATATCAGTCTTAAATTAGAACGTAAAAAAAGATTGAGATGTTTTGCACCAGAAACATTTACCTAATTATATAACATATTTACTATCCACATCCATACGCGAAGTAAACCCGAAAAAAAACTGCCGAGTTGAAGAAATTCGGGAGGAAGCGATGGCCGTATTCGGAAGTCAATTTTCCCCTTGGGAATATCACGTCGGTCGGTAATGGAATGATGGCGAAGGGGTTTACAGAAGCGAGAAATAATGACAGAATTTGGGGACTTGAATTTTGTGATTCGTAACAGGCTTGTGCCGCTGCAGCCAATCACGACACGTGATTGATTTTTTTGTGTTTTTTTTTACCCTTCAAAATGGTTCTAAATATCTCCCCCCCCCCATTGATGCTGCTGATGCTGGTACTATTCTTACTGATGCTGGTACTATTGCTGTGAAGTGTTATCAGTAAATATAATAGTTTTATCTGTAGCTTTGAGAAAGGAGCGGGACTTGAGAAATCCGTCAAAGTTGTTAGAGGAACGTCTATTTTATGCTACTACGGCCAAAGTAAGGATAGACGAATATGTTAATTTTCCCATTAATACTAATTGGAATAGTGAAGGGGAATGCAAGATCCAATTTATGTTTAAGTATATTAAAAACATGTTATCGGATATAACCTATATCTTTTCTCAAGATACTGTATACTATAGCTTGAATAGTCAGAATATTGAATACAATACAGTATATATTGTATATACTGTATATTATACAGTATATATTGTATATATTGTGACAAAAAAAGATAGCAACAGAAGAAAGGAGAGACTAAAGGGGCTAAGAATGAAAGACCCATTTTAAGTGGGTCTTTCATTCATCTTCATTTAAGCATTACGGAATTGTAGTAAGTTTCTCAGGGGGGAATAATGGTGTATGTTTCTGGGAGTGAAAAATAGTATACATGTCTATACTATTTTTGCTTAAAATTATAGTTTCCAACAAATTTTGATCACTTGTAGCCAGTGCCAAAAATTGTCGTTTGAGTCAGATTATTGCTGTCCCATGTCTCAGTTCATCATTCCTCCCGAAATGTAAGGTTGGCGAGATATAGCTGACTTTATAAGAACTAGACTGAAAAGACCTCTCCAGATAGAACCAGGGGCGCTTCAAGGTCTCAGGCGAGTCCCCTCGTTCCTGAGATTTTCACTTTGTTGGGATGTTCCATAGTAGGGATGTTGGGATGTCCCATAGTTGGGATGTTGGGATGTCCCATAGTTGGGATGTTGGGATGTCCCATATTATGGGACATGGAGGTATGCCATTCTCACCACGGGAGACATCTCCCCACACGCAGGGTGCAGTCGCACCTCCACAGATCTCCAGTATCAGCTATTGATACTGGTAATGGCTCAAAAGGGCCACCACTTACGGGCTATTCAAGCCCGTGCCGCCTTTTGGGTGGCTTAATCTTCATCAATCATCAATCAATCATTCTCACGCGTACAGACATAGTTAATTGTCTAACAATACATGTTCCCAATTACTCATTTCTTTCTCAATTTGTGTATCATGAACCCGTTGCAAAGCACTAATACCCTCCTTATTTTTCTTCTCTCAGTCTCTCATCGTCTCTCTCCCTCTTTCTCTCTCTCTCCTACGCAGGTACACACAGGAGGGCCTGAGCAGCACTCTCTCACTCTCTCTCTCTCTCTCCTACGCAGGTACACACAGGAGGGCCTGAGCAGCACTCTCTCACTCTCCCTCTCACTCTCTCACCCTCTCTCTCCTACGCAGGTACACACAGGAGGGACTGAGCAGCACTCTCTCACTCTCCCTCTCACTCTCCCTCCCTCTCTCCTACGCAGGTACACACAGGAGGGACTGAGCAGCACTCTCTCACTCTCCCTCTCACTCTCTCTCTCTCTCTCTCCTACGCAGGTACACACAGGAGGGCCTGAGCAGCACTCTCTCCTACACCCCCATGTCCGAGCGAGACTACGGTACGCTTCTGTGTTTCGCTACCAACAACGTGGGCGGCCAGAGTGACCCTTGCTCCTTCACTATCATATCTGCAGGTGAGTGAACGGGGGGAGAGAGAGAGAGAGAGAGAGAGAGAGAGAGAGAGAGAGAGAGAGAGAGAGAGAGAGAGAGAGAGAGAGAGAGAGAGAGAGAGAGAGGGAGAGAGAGAGACAGACAGACAGAGACAGAGACAGAGACAGAAACAGAGACAGAGACAGAGACAGAGACAGAGAGAGAGAGAGAGAGAGAGAGAGAGAGAGAGAGAGAGACAGACAGACAGAGACAGAGACAGAAACAGAGACAGAGACAGAGACAGAGACAGAGAGAGAGAGAGAGAGAGAGAGAGAGAGAGAGAGAGAGAGAGAGAGACAGACAGACAGAGAGGTGGAGTGGGTATTGAATGCGAGAGGAAGGGGCTAAGACTAAATAATAAAGTAATAAACTTTTTAATAAATAATAAAGTAAATAAATAACTAATAAATAAATAAATAAATAAATAAATAAATAAATAATAAATAATAAATAAATAAAAAATAAATAAATAATAAAGTAAATAATAAATAACTAAATAATAAAGTAATAAACTTCTAAAATAACGAAATAATAAACGAACATAGAAATCTGCAAAATAACAAACCAGAAAATATTATTTAACAAAAGATAGAAAAAGTATTTAAAATCCAATAAACGCAAAACTGTCATATAAGATTTTTTTCCCCACTACTTAAAAGCTTCCCTGAAGCCACAACATCAATTCAGACAGTCCATGCATCGAGAATTTTTTTGTTATTTCATGTTTAGATTCAAAAGTTTTTTCTATGTATATATATATATATTTTTTGGGGGGGTGAGGTAGGTATGTAGTAATTTTGGAATGTTCACCGACACGAAACTGCAATTGGTAATTCACTGCTACTGCTTTTATTGGGGAGCCGGTCGGCCGAGCGGACAGCACGCTGGACTTGTGATCCTGTGGTCCTGGGTTTCGATCCCAGGCGCCGGCGAGAAACAATAGGCAGAGTTTCTTTCACCCTATGCCCCTGTTACCTAGCAGTAAAATAGGTACCTGGGTGTTAGTCAGCTGTCACGGGCTGCTGCTTCATGGGGGTGGAGGCCTGGTCGAGGACCGAGCCGCGGGGACACTAAAAAGCCCCGAAATCATCTCAAGATAACCTCAAGATACTTTATTGAGTCTGTTGCTAAATTGTTGCTGCTCTGAAAGTATGCTGGATTCTTACAGCATGGAGAAAAATATACAATTGGTTATCGAAATGGAGTATGATGCAGTATGACAAGAAGTATGGTGCTTGTTCAGAGCGAGAAGCAGTTAAGGCAGAGATGATAATCTCTGCCTTAACATCTGCATGTTCTTGAGGCTTCCAATGAATCCTAATTAGGGTTCCACACAATTGCAATTCTGACTAGGCTTCAGGTGAAGCCTCAGGAACCTTAGAGGATGCAGTTGCATCCCAGATTGCAATGCATTTGCCCCAATTCGTGGTGCAGTGGTCTAAGGCATATGCTTGGGAATACCCAAGTTCGAATCCTTCTCATGACTCCTACAGATTTTCTCAATAATAACAATAATAAGTTAACGAGACTAGACACATAACATTCGAAAAAAACATAGAAAAACGTATAATTTGTTAAAGCAAGGCCTGGTCGACGACCGGGCCGCGGGGACGCTAAGCCCCGGAAGCACCTCAAGGTAAGATACATCAAAGGATTGAAATGGAAAAATGCCAACACAAAACAGTGATAAAGGAGGATGATACATGCTTGAGGGCCGGATACAGGAGGGTGGCGTGTGTCCAAGACACATACTGGTGAGGGGAGGGAAGGGGGTGCATGGTGCTCCTGCCTCGATACATATATCACAGGTAAGTTGGGCAAATTACCTTAGGGTGTAATAAGGTAATTTGCTTGGGTAACGCGGAGACATGGATTTGTTACCATGAGAGGGGGGAGGGTTGGGGGGTTGTGGTGGTTGTGTGATGGTGGTAGTGGTGGTGTGATGGTGGTAGTGGTTATGGTTGGTGATGGTGGTGTCGTGGTGATGTGATGGTGGTGGTGGTGGTTGTTATGGATGGTGATAGTGAGTTGATGGTGGTGTCGTGGTGGTGGTGATTGGGGGTAGTGGTGGTGGTGATGTGATGGTGGCGAAGGTGGTGTTGATGGTGGTGTCGTGGTGGTGATTGGGGGTAGTGGTAGTGGTGTTGATGGTGGTGTCGTGGTGGTGGTGTGATGGTGGTAGTGGTGGTGGTGATTGGGGGTAGTGGTGGTGGTGTTGATGGTGGAGAAATGTTGGGGGATATGGAGAGAAGGCCAAGAGAGAGAATGGAGGAAGGAGGGGGAGGTAGGAAGTAAGGTGATAGGTAAGACGAATAGGAAGAGAGCAGCAGCAGGAAGACGAAGAGGAGGAGGAGGGGCAGGAAGAGCAGGAGAAAGAGGGGGGGGGGAAGTAGACTATAATAAGTATTTGTGATTGATTTCGACATCTAAAAAAAAAGAATAAAGCAGTCGTGCGCACGCGCGCTTTCGGAGATAATAACATAATAACACCTTTTCTCTTAATAAAACATGCGCGCGCACGCACGCACGGGGCCTCCTGGCTGAGTGGACAGCGCTTGGGGGGAAGGGGGGGTCATAATCCTAATGTCCCGGGATCGATTCCCGGCGGAGGCGGAAACAAATAGGCAGAGTTTCTTTCACCCTAATGCACCTGTTCACCAAGCAGTAAATAGGTACCAACAGGACTTTGACAACCTCTCCAAATTGAGAAAAGGCAGGACAAGAGGACACAGGTGAAAGCTGGAAATGCAAATGAGCGGAAGAAATACAAGGAAACACTTGTGATCTGTGTGTGCAAGTGTTACACACAGAGAATAACAACTGTGTTTACAACTAAAATCACGAATCACAACAATTAGGATGCAGTGAAAGAAGCAGTTGTGGAAGCCACCTCCATCCATACCTTTAAGGCTCAACCAAAGATGCCAGCGTCAGAATAGTTACACAGTAACGCCAGAGGTACAGTGAGGCTTGTAGGCCGGGCATAACGAGCTTGTTCACGTTGAATCACAGTCAAACACATCGACTCATCGTCAGTAACGACATTTAGCTCGAGCATGTTTTGCCTACAAGGACACGGAAAGGCAGAGAGTAGGAATGAGAGAGAGAGAGAGGAAATGGAAGAATGCAAGGGAAGGAAAGAGAGACTTGGAGAGATGGAGGGAGGGAGAGAGAGGTATAAAAACAGCCCCGTGCACTGCCGGGTACAGCATCAATCTATAATAGATAACATCTATCTGTTCGCTCGTCAGTCTTTTGAAAAGTTGGAAGCCAGATGCTTGTGGCTAGTCTCCCACAACTTTCTATAATGACTTGTTGTATCATGGTGAGTCTCTAGAGGGGGGGGGGAGTCGTGTCACAGTCATTTACAGTGAAACAAACTGTTGTGAAAATAGTTACAGTGATGAGGTGATGGGGAAGGTGTGGTGGGGGTCACAGCTAGTTTGTATATTACAAGAAATGGTTGTGAGTCGACAGCGTTACTTGATCAAGATATTGAAAGATTTACAACTCCCAAAATCACAATAAAATTACGTAAAATCACAATAGCGTATCGCTTCGTATCCATATCGCTTCACTTTGAAAGAATGAGATATTTCTCACTCACTAAAAAGACTATGTAAACAATGTATAACAGTTTCTGCAAAACATAAGAAAGATGAGGAGTTCATTTCAATCTTAAATGAGAAAGAAAGGCACTTGAATGAGCTCTTTTATCAACAGGATTCAGAAAGCACTGGAGACGACAAAATATCGTTATCCACGTAAGAAATCCTCAAAATCCACAAGCATATTACAAAGGAACAAGTCGGCGGATTAGGTTAAGCAAATCGATTGTTTTAGAATGTCAAACACAGATGTGTAGACTAAGGAATTGACATCAACCTTCCTAAAAGGTTGTTCTTGTTGAGATGCTGACATGACCCCAAGAAAAGTCAACTACCTGAGACGTTGACATGACCTAAACACACGAAGTCTCTACTCAAAAAAGCTCTGTAGATATGTTGACCAGACCACACACTAGAAGTTGAAGGGACGACGACGAATCGGTCCGTCCTGGACCATTCTCAAGTCGATTGTGAAGAGGAGGTAGGGACAGGCAATAAATAGGCAAGAGAGAGCTGAGGAGGAAAGTAAGGTGTAGGGGATAGTAGTAATAATGAGAACTGTAGATAGCTTTTTGCTAACGAGCTGGAAATTCTAGTTTAACCCAGTACCCGCAATCTTAATTCCGCTGTCACGCAGCAAAAGCCGATGTAGACTTGAGCAACACTGACATTCAGCAAAACTCAAGCCAACGTCAGTTTGAAGAAGACTGACATTCATCGCACTACCGTGAACGTCACTTTGAGCAAGACTGACATTCTGCAGTAATGAAGCAAACATCGAGTTTAGGAACTTTTGTAAGTCGGTACGCGGCAGTAAAGTGCTGGTTTGGTGTTGAATTATTTCTCTAGTAGCCTTAGGTCCTCACTACTCTGGGAGAGCTGTTCTTCGTGGCTGTCTGTAGCGTCTTAGAGCTCTTCGAACTCATGTATACATAAAGTACAGAGACATATGTATATCATACACACATATGCACCCCCGTCCACACATGCACAACAGCATCACATACAGGGAAAGATACACACACCCTGGGGATGCTATGATCCAGCATCACATACAGGGAAGAGAAGAATAGATCCCGTTTCTTGAGGTTATCTTGAGATAACAAGATAACGTTTAAGACAAATCGTGTACAATCTCTTGGTTGCCGGACCGGATCTCCTTCACAGCCTCCCAAGATGCTGTCTTCTCTCCCGGGTGATGCTCAGGTCGTTTATCTCAATGTCTTGGATGGCCTTAATGCTTAGAGTTTGAGATGAAGCTGTCTCGGATTCTTCCTGTCAGGTTGAGGATGAAGGCTAGACCCTCCTGTCCCCCTCTGTCTACTTTCTACTGTGTGTCCTATGTCCATCTACCGTCTGTCTACTGTCTATCCACCTGGGTGACAGAGGCAATGTTTCGATTAATGGACAAGTCAACCTAGAGGAGCAATGGAAGATAGATTTTTTAGCGTAAAAAGACACGACAAGATACGGAAAATGATGAGGAATGATGCAGGGAAAATGATGACGTGTCAGGGAATGATGAATGAGGCAAGGAATGATGAGGAATGAAGCATTGAATGACGAGGAAAGAAGCAGATAATGATGAATGAGGTAGGAAATTATGAGAAGTGAAGCAATGAATGGTGAGAAATGAGGCAGGGAATGATGGGAAACATGAGACCGAAAACTCAGACGACAAAGAGCGAAAGCTCGAGGGAACAAAAGCAGTGAGACAAATGAATGAGAACAAGCGTAACAATAAAGATGAGAAATAT